TGAAATTAAAATTAATGGCTTAAGATAACAACTACTAATCAAATGACAAAACTCACAAAAATAAATGGAAAACTATTTGCCATGATTGAACAACAAAAATGCCAAAACTCCAAAAATCAAATTAACTATAAATCCAGAAAAAGTTGTTAGACCCTTCAAATTCATCCTACAACTCCTTAAGAATCTACCCAAAAATTATGTTAAAGCATGCCAAAAGCAACTAAGATTCTAGAGTGACAAAATTGATTAATCTTTTCAATCTTATGGGCCATAGTAGTATTAGGGAGACTTGAGGGGATGATTTGCAATTTTGAAAACTCTTTTCATGCAAAGCATGCAAACTTACGTGAGAAAACATTCTGCAACAAAACAAACAAACTGCTGCACCTTTGCTCCACTTTCATACACTGAATTCAGATTTGATCTCATACTTTAACCCAACGCTTTCTTGATCCAACATCAAATTTTAAACTAAACAACACAAAACATGAACTTGACATCCGAACAAGCAAAATCATAGAAGGAAATCATGCAAACATTGAAAAACTTCATGCAAAAAGGCACGAAGAAGCTTTCTACAATCAGAAATTTGCTGCAGCTTTGTTTCCAAACGGATACTTCAGATCCGAACACCAGCTTTGATCAAAACCTTTTCAACCAAACCTCCAAACCTTGAACTAAGCATTACGACACATAACTTTGGCGTCTATACAAGCAAAAACTTAGAAAGAAATCATGTAAATTCTTGAAAACTTTCATGCAAAAAAAATTTTTGAGCTTCAACAAGCAATGCTTCTGAGCTTCAGTACTTCGCATGGCAGATTCACACAATCATCTCAAACCACAAACCCAATCTCAAGTTCTTATCAAGCTTATCATGCATACAAGGGGATGACAAAATCAGGAACACTGAGGATCTTTATGCAAACAAGAATTCCGGCAAAGCTTTCTGTCAAAAAAAAAATACAGCAGCTAAAGAGACTTTCTGCAATAGATTTCGGCAGGCTGAAGTTGCTCTTCTGCAATCCTCTTTAGCAACTCAACAAGATGGCAAAAGTTTAAATACAACTCACGCTTCATTAACTCTTCTACAACCTTTATTGACACAAGATGGAGTATGCAAACAAGATGATGAAAGTCCAGCTTTGTAGGTTGTTGCGTGAAGAAGGAAGAACATCAAAAATGAGGACGAAATGCAGCTTTTCATCATTCAACCCGGAATTCCAAATATCATATTAACAAATTCCAATGTTAAAACATTTCGTGGGGTGGATTAAAGCAGTAAAGATGACCCAAAGCACAAAACAGCAAGAGGCACCCGAGATTTCATGCATCAAGAAAACACTACAAGCATTAGTAGCTTCATAACGCAACTGAACGTGAAATTGCAGCAGAGGCGTAATGACACTCACGGCAAGCATGCCCACAGCCCACTATCATGCCAACTGAACGCCAAAGAGAGTACAAACTTCAAGCAACCAAACACTCCAGTATGAACCAAACGTGCTTTCTACTTTTTCCATAAAACTTTAGATGCTAACACATGAAAATCAGAAGGGAAACCATGCGACCTTAGCAAATTTCTGAAGCTTATCTGATGCTTTGACGTTTAGTAAACTCACGCAACAACAACAAATTTTAACAGCAACAAGGATTCAATCATTCTTAACCATCAAAAATTAAATCTTTGGAACATCAGGGATCACCCAAGAGAAAACCCACGGATCACATCTATTTGATTTTGGGGAAGGAAAATGCAAAGCTGAGGGCTTTTTAGGTTCACAAATTTTCAACCATACCAATTCAAAACACGACCCACGCACAGCCACAAGATTTGATTTTTCACTCATAAACAAAGAAAACACAGTCTTGGGGAACATGAAACAGAAGGGGCGGAAGATTAGACAACAAAAACAGTGAATTTCCCATGAGCAAAGTCACGAAAACACATGCTTTGAAAATTTAAAGATGTCTGTGTTTTGAAGAGATACTGGAATTTAAAGGAGAAAAAGAACTTACAGTACTCGTGCTTTCTTGATGAAGATTCGCAACTACTGGTGGCGTGAGGGTTAGCAATTCCAGTGGCTCTCCTTTCTCTGCCACTGCAGACACCCCTCGATTTTTCTTGCTTCCTAGACTTTATCCCTTCATAGTTGGTTTACCAGCCATTCTTCCTCTCTCTATTTCTTTCCGCATCACCTCTCTGGCTATCTCTCTTTTGCTAACTCCCTTTCTCTCTAGCCCTCTCTCGGTTTCTCTCCTTTCCTCGCTTCCTTTCTTGCTTTTTATCTTTCAGCCGTCATCCCCTCTATTGTTTCTTTCTTTTGCCGTCCAAAACCTCCATTTCTAGCTGTTTTCCTTTTTTCCTAAAACCCCAGCCGTCATACATTCTCCCCTTCTTGATCCTTTCTCATTTCAAGGCTTCTTATAAGCACCCGAATCCTAATGTCCACGGTGTACAGCTGCTGCGTTTTCCTTCTTCTAATTTCTACACCATTGGATGGCCTCTGTTCCTTATGAGATTGAGGTTCAAGATAAAGGCCAGATGGCCTTGTACTATGCCAATCTGATGGAGTAGAAAAATGGGCAAAAATGCCCGGAAAACAAACTGGAAAATGGAGCCGCATTTTTGTTTTCTGCATTCTGTTAGTACGCTACTATTAGGGAGTTCAGCGTTTTTTTTTGACTTTGATTGACAATTTTCCTTTTATTTTCACTAATTCCCATTAATTTAGGATAACGAACAAAAAGATATTTTTGTGAGTATATTTCATAGATTGAATCTAAAGAGTTAAAGTATATTTTTGTGAGTAATTAAGCGACTAATTAAGAAATGAATGATAAATGCCTTTAATCAAAATAAAAAAATAAAAAAATGAAAAATAATAACAATTAAAGCTAAATCAATAAATTTAGTATCTAAAAAGCTACAAAAAGATGTCTAAACTAAAATCCTGAGATTAATAAGTAAAAATAGCTAACAATTATAAATAAAAATAAAAGAAAAATAAATAAAAATGAAATAAGTAAAAATTTGGTGTCTACAGTTTGCCTCTCTTTGTCTGAGTTTCGAAGAAATTTGAGACAAAAACGTAGACACCAACAACTTACCTACAGTTATTCCGCCGTGAGTTGGAACATGTAAACTCAAAAGGTCAGTGGGATGGATACTCGAGCCTGCTTTCATTTGGTCAGTGGGATGAATACCCGAGCCTGCCGTTGCTTGGGTCAGTGGGATGAATACCCGAGCCTACCTTCATTCTTCATTTGGTCAGTGGGATGACTACCCGAGCCTGCCTTCATTCTTCATTTGGTCAGTGGGATGAATACCCGAGCCTGCTTTCATTCTTCATTTGGTCAGTGGGATGACTACCCGAGTCTGCCGTCGCTTGGGTCAGTGGGATGAATACCCGAGCCTGCCTTCATTCTTCATTTGGTCAGTGGGATGAACACCCGAGCCTGCCTTCATTCTTCATTTAGTTAGTGGGATGAATACCCGAGCCTGCTTTCATTCTTCATTTGGTCAGTGGGATGACTACCCGAGCCTGCCTTGATAATCGGTCGGTTAGTGGGATAGAACCCGAGCATTTCGTAGAATTTTGAGAAAGGAGACAAATAACTTCCTCTAAATTGCCCCAGTGTCATGCTTATTGGACTATCGGACCTGCAAGAAAAGAAATAATGATAGATAATACCGCCTCCATCCGATCAACCCCTTTTCAAAAGAAGTGTAAACATGAGCATTTGGACTCCTTATGTGGCGAAGCAGGTACTTCAATCTAGCCCTGCGAGCAATATCAAGTTTTCATAATTTCTCATATGTAGATCAACGTATCATCTAGTATCTATTCTTTCGATAAATCATAGGGATTGCCATTTGATAGAGCGAAAGAGACAAATGTGACCATGCAACACATGAAAAACATTCTAATTGCACATAGTGATGAAAAATCTTAACAATATAAACACAATCCTCTACTTTTATTGCATGAAAAATCATTTCAAATAGACAAGCTTGTATACTCAAATTTCGTGTTTGATAAATCAAACACTTTGGTTTTCGAACCAAGTGCTACACTTGACCCTTTGGATATCATCTCTTCGGAGTTCAAATGCTTAACAACAGAACCACAATATGAGGAGAATCTCCAATGAACTAAGTCACCAGCACTTTGGATCCACGCTCACTTTTCCTTGTAAAACCCTACCTCAGCGCCCTTTTGGGTTTTCACTAAGGTTACCCTCGCCCATTTTGTTTTCCTTTCACTTTTTTTTTCTTTTTCCTTTTTCTTCTTCTTTTTCCTTTTTCCTTCTTCTTTTTCTTTTTTTTCTTTTCTTTCTTTTTTTTCTTTTTTCTTTCTTTTTCCTAAGGTGCCCTTGCGGGTTTTCACCTAACAAACAAATCTTGTCTATCGCCCATATTAATCTAGAAATGTGTTTTAAGAAATAATGGCATCAGTATAACAATCCTTCCCTTGCAAAATAGGTGAAGGTGTTTTTGACATCATGTGCCACTTGATTAGAAATTGTCCTAAAAAGGCAATATAAAGAACAGAAGTCAGGATTTTTAGGTTTTTGCAATGGGGTCTGGTAGGGTGCTTAGAAAAGAATTAAGGCTTGAAAGCGGACTTATGAATGTTTAGATTTCCTGAGATCGCATCTTTAAATTATGCCTACTAATAATTGTCCCAATTTATTCTCAATCGAGATCCTCCTCTTTTCATTTTTCTCTTCATTTTGTTCCTCTATCGCTTTTACCATTTGAACCCTCTCTTTTCTTTTTTCCTTCTTTTCCTTCTTAGCTTTTTCAACTCAAAACTTGCCCCAGTGTGGGGTTTGCGATTCTCAGGGGATTCCAAACGAAATAATTTGCTCTGAATGCTCAAAAAGGATAACTAGGGATAGAATGTTTGATTGGAAAGGAAGAAGGCCTGACTTTTCATTCCATTCTTTACATTAAACCCTAAAAGGAAAATTTCATTTATCATATGAAAAATTTCTTACACATATCCAAATTGATTGGTATCCATTTCTGCAAGAATGAGCGCTCCCCCGAGCAAAATTTTCTGGACAATAAAAGGGCCTTGCCAATTTGGTGCAAATTTCCCCTTAGCTTCCTCTTGTACTGGCAAAATGTGTTTCAACACTTTATCTCCTTCTGTGAATATTCGTGGTCTGACCCTCTTATTGTAAGCACGGGCTACCCTTTTTTGATAACATTGACCATGACAAATGGCATTTAACATTTTCTCATCAATTAAAGACAACTGCTCATGACGTTGTTGAATCCACTCAGCCTCCTCCAGTTTGGCCTCCATTAAAATGCGCAAAGAAGGGATTTCGACTTCGGCTGGCAAAACTGCTTCCATTCCATACATGAGATTGTAGGGAGTTGCCCCAGTAGAAGTCTGAATAGCAGTTCTATATGCCATTAATGCATAAGGGAGCTTCTCGTGCCAATCACGGTGTCTCTCAATCATCTTACGGATTATTTTCTTCAACTTCTTATTTGCAGCCTCTACTGCTCCATTCATCTGTGGCCTATAAATAGAGGAGTTTCGATATTTGATTTTGAACTGTTTGCACAAACCATCCACCATGTCATTGTTGAGATTTTTGGCATTATCAGTGATTAATGTCTTCGGCACTCCAAAACGACAAATGATATGCTTTCTTAGAAAGTCCGTCACCACTTTCTTAGTCACATGCTTATAAGACTCCGTTTCAACCCACTTGATAAAGTATTCAATTGCCACCAGAATAAATCGATGCCCGTTTGAAGCGGGAGGGTCAATGGCTCCAATCACATCCATGCCCTATATTGAACATGGCCAAGAAGCAGTCATACTGTGCAATTCTGTGGGGGGAGTGTGCATAACATCTCCGTGCAAATGACATTTGATGCACTTCCTAACAAAAACTACACAATCATGCTCCATGGTAAGCCAAAAATATCCGGTCCTCATGATCTTCTTTGCTAACAAGTGGCCATTCATATGTGATCCACATACTCCACTATGTAGTTCTTTCATCAAGTATTCTGCTTCGTCCTCATCAACACACCTCAGAAGGCCCAAATCTGACGTTCTTTTGTATACCACTTCTCCATTCAAGAAGAATTTAGATGATAATCTACGCAAGAAGCTTTTGGCAGTCATATCGGCCTCAGGAGGGTAGGACCCTGTTTTGAGAAATTCCTTAATGTCACTGTACCAGGGACGACCATCGGGGGATTTTTCCACAACTAGGCAATGAGCAGGTTTTCCTTGCAAGTGAATGTGGATAGGTTCAATTACCAACTCGTTTGGATGTTGAATCATCGAAGATAAGGTGGCCAAAGCATCGGCGAAGACATTTCTGGCACGTGGAATATGCCTGAACTCCAAACTCCTAAATTTGTTTGCCAAATTCAATAAACTACAATGATAAGGCACGATCTTTGAATCCCGAGTGATCCACTCTTTAAGAGTCTGATGCACGAGCAAATCGGAGTCACTGAACACTATTAAATCCTTAATCTCCATTTCCAAAGCCATTTTTAGCCCAAAAATGCAAGCTTCATATTCGGCCATATTGTTAGTGCAGAAAAATCGTAGTTTAGCGGAACCAGGATAATGCTTCCCTTCAGGTGATACTAGAACAGCTCCAATACCGGCTCCAAAGGAATTTGATGCCCCATCAAAAAATAGCCTCCATTCAGAACATTTTTCATTCATGTCTTCTGCTGTACCCACGAACAGGGCTTCCTCATCTGGAAAATAAGTGTGAAGCGGTTGATAATCGTCCCTCCTTAGGTTTTCGGCCAAGTGATCCGCTATCGCCTGACCCTTGATGGCCTTTTGCGTGGTAAAAATGATGTCAAACTCCGAAAGAATCATCTGTCATTTAGCCATGCGTCCAGTTGGCATTGGTTTTTCCAACAAATACTTCAAAGGGTCTGACCGAGAGATAAGATAAGTGGTATGACTAAGCAAATGATGTCTCAACTTCTGAGCTGCCCAGGCCAATGCACAGTAACTCTTTTCAAGAAATGTATATTTTGCCTCATAAGACGTGAACTTCTTGATGAGATAATAAATAGCTTGCTCCCTCTTTCCAGAATCGTCATGCTGCCCCAAAACACATCCCACAGCCTCGTCGAGCACTGACAAGTACATAATCAATGGTCGACTCGGCTTGGGTGGTACTAAGACCGGGGGGTGCAACGAGTAGTCTTTAATTTTATCAAACGCCTGCTGGCACTCTTCACTCCAATGCAATGACACATTTTTCTTCAGTAATTTGAACAGAGACTCACATGTGTGGGTCAACTGAGCGATGAACCTTCCGATAAAGTTAATCTTTCCTAAAAAATTCTTCACGTCCTTTTGCGTTTTTGGCACTGGCATCTCACGAATGGCTTTAATTTTTGCCGGGTCTATCTCTATACCCTTCTTACTGACAATGAATCCCAATAACTTTCCGGCAGGGGCCCCGAATGCACACTTTGCAGGGTTTAGTTTCAGATCATATTTTCTCAATCTTTCAAATAACCTTTCCAAGTCAATCAAGTGATCCTCCGCTCTCTCGGATTTGATAATGATATCGTCCACATAAACCTCCATCTCCTTATGAATCATATCGTGGAACAGGGTGGTCATAGTCCTTTGATAAGTGGCGCCGGTATTTTTCAATCCAAACGGCATTACTCGGTAGCAAAATGTCCCCCAGGATGTGATAAAAGCAGTTTTCTCCCTGTCCCCCTCTGCCATTAAGATCTGGTGATATCCAGCGAAACAGTCAGCAAATGATTCAATCTCATGCCCTGCGGTATTGTCCAGAAGAATATGAATGTTCGGCAACGGAAAATCATCTTTCGGGCTGGCTTTATTAAGATCCCTGTAATCGACACATACTCGCACTTCTCCACTTTTCTTTGGAACAGGTACAGGGTTTGAAAGCCAAATGGGATAATGAGACACCATAATAATTCTAACATTGAGCTGCTTCTCGATTTGCTCCTTAATTTTGAGGCTCATGTCTGGCTTAAACTTGCGAGGTTTTTGTTTCACTAGTGAAAAATTTGGATCAGTCGGTAATCGATGGACCACTATATCTGTTGAAATTTCAGGCATATCATCATAGGACCAAGCAAACACATCTTGAAATATGGTCAAAAACTCGATCATTTATTTTCTCTGTTTCTTATTCAAATGAATGCTAATTTTTATCTCCTTAACCTCAGTCTCAGTGCCAATATTAACAACTTCTGTTTCTTCTAAGTTCAATTTGAATTTCTCCTCATATTGTTCAAGATCCTTTAATAAAGACTCAGATTCTTCCTCGTTATCGCTCTTGTCTTGAATTTCGGATTCCAAAATTTCAAAGTCGTGAGGGATATCGAGGTCACAATCATCAAATTCCAGAATAGTGATATCCAAAGGGTCAATGTGTTTTATTTTTGGCCATCTGAAAAAGAATAAAATAGATAAAACAATGTGTAAGCAAATCAATTTGAAAAATAAACACTGTGCATTTCATTGAATTTGAAGGTAAAGGATCATAACATGCGACTTAACAAAAGATTCGACATAAGACTTGGATTGAAAAGCATTTGATTAAAAACTATTTACAAAACTGAAAGACAAAAGATAAACAATGCGAATAAGTTCTTTCATGGCGACCAAAGGCAACTCCCCAGATATACCGAAATTCCCTTTGAGAGGGAAGGAAATCACTGGTCCAATTCTTCATTGTTTCGGTAGACATCTCTGGAAATTCTGGGTCCTCCAATAGCTCCCTCTCAGAAGCAACCCCCACAAATAGCTCAGACAATCCAACCTCCACTTCCTCGATTGGGTCTATTTCAACTCTAATCACCTCTGATGGGTAAGGAAAAGTACAATATAATGGTGGGATATTCATGACAAGTTGCCTTCCTTCCTTCTCCGCCTTTTTGCGATTCATCATTTTCTTCTTATCCTTGATAGTAGGTTGAAACCCCAATCCGAAGGTGTTTTTCTTTCCTTGAAGCTCTATTGGTTCCAAAACTCCCTGTAGGTTGCGCCCGAGGCCCTTGCCCATCTCATATCCTCCTCGAATCATCTCTTTAGCCATCATAACACTGGTTTCAGGTAAATTCATTTCTACTGCCGCCTTGTCCTTGGATGCCCTACCCACCGAAACAATGTCAGCTACATGGTGATGGGAAACCAAAGCTTTTCTATCGCCCTTATCTTCCAATGCTGGATTAACGATCATAGTGCAATCTTCCTCAGCAAATATCGTAATCAACTGGCCATTCACCACAAATCTCAACATTTGATGGAGTGAAGAAGGTATAGCGCCTGAAGTATGAATCCAAAGCCGTCCGAGAAGAACATTATAAACACTCGAGAAGTCCATGACTTGGCACATAACTTGAAACTAGGCAGGTCCGATTTCCAGCACTAAATCCACTTCCCCCATTGATTCCCTTTTTGCGCCATCAAATCCTCTCACCACAATGGCAGACGGCCGAAGTTTAGCTTCCTGAAATCTCAATTTAACCAATGTGTTCCAAGGACAGATATTAAGAGCAGATCCATTGTCTATCAAGACCCTTGGCAATAACTTCCCATTACAACGGACTGAGATATACAATGCTTTATTGTGTCCAATCCCATCCGAAGTCAAATCTTCATCAGAAAAAGAGATTTAATTTGAAGCCAAAACATGTTCGACTACCTGAGTGAATTTATCCACAGGAATATTCTTAGGCACTTGAGCCTCAGTTAAGACCTTGAGTAAAGCTTCTCGATGAAGTTTCGAGGTTAGAAGCAAATTCAATATAGAAACTTGAGCGGGCATCTTGTCCAATTGTTCGACCACCTTATACTCACTTTTCTTCAGCATCTTCAGGAAATTGAAGGCCTTTTCATCAGTCACAGTTGGTTTTGTCAGAACAGCATTTTCTTTCGCTTTCGAGGGCTCATCAACTGCGGGTTCCCCTATGATTCTTCCAGATCTAGTAATAGCGTCCACTTCCTTTCTGGGCACCTTTTCTCCTCCAATTAATAGCGTGGACTAGCTATAATTTCATGGGACCTCTTGCAGATTAAGGATAGGAGGTTGCTCAGGCAATTCAAGTACCTCCAGCTCCGAAGGCTCACATTCGAAAGGCACCATTTCCAGAATAAACGGACCGGTATTTTTCTTGACTTCATAAGCTTCTTCCTCCAATATGAATGGTTCTTCAATGACCCTTACTGTCTCAGCTTCATTTATAATAAATTGTGTAGGTTCCTCAATCTCTTCATCAATAGTAATAACTCCCACGGTGTCCTTGTGTGTAGGAAGAGGATTTTTGCTAACCTTTGGACCTTGTTCCTCCCTCCTCCTCAGGACTATATCTCCGGACTCAATCATGTCTTGAATTTTATGCTTAAGCACCCAGCAATTGGCAGTTGAATGTCCAGGGGCTCCCGAATGATAAGCACAAAATGACTGAGGATCATAACCAATGGGAAATCCTTTGGAATAGGTCTTAGGGGGTACGATGCCAATTTTTCCAGCAGCTTTCAATTGCTCATACAATTGGTCAACGGGCCGACCTAGATTGGTGAAGGTTCGGTATGGGGTTGGATTTTGGGTGTCACTGGTTTGTTGATAGTGGTAACTAGGGTTGGGGGGTGGAATAGGTCTTGGGTTGAAAGAAGGGCGCGGTCTAATTTGGAAGTTCGGTGGGGAAATGTGAAATGGCGTTGACGGTGTGTTTGGGTAATTTGGTCGAGGACGGGGGTGGTTGATTGTGGTATTGTAGACAGGTCGAGAGCGTGGTTGGTATAAGTAACGAGGTGAGTAGGCGGGATTTCGTTGGTATGTAGGCCGGGAAGAAGAACCTTGGTTCCAAACAAAGGAAGCTTCCTCGTCTTTCTTCTTAAACTGAGACTTTTTACTGCTGCTGTTTTGGCTTTGCATAGCTTTCAACTGCGACTTTAAAGCTGAAACATTAACAATCTTGCCTGCTCTCATAAACTCGTCATACTCTTCCAACTTATTGACAATCTCTGCAAAGGAACACCCTGTCATTCGAAAAATCTCCTCAAAGTAAGGTGGGTCATGAGTTTTGATGAACGTGCGAACAATCTTGTTTTCAGTCATAAGAGGCTCCACCTTGGCGGCCAATTTCCTCCATCTCTTCGCATATGTCTTATGGTCCTCCGATGGTTTCCCCTTAGTCCCCTCCAATGTGGTCCTCGTCAGAGCGAGCTCGCAATTGTATTCATACTGCTTACAAAAGCGGTTGACAAATCCATCCATGACCTCATATTCTCAGGCTTCAAATTTGAATACCAATCCAACGCGTCGCCTTCTAGTGTGACGTCCCCACTTCTCCCTAAGGCGCACCAAAGGGTATCCGCGGAACGCCTGCCTAACTCTCGCTAGGACTCAAGCAATAAACGTTCAACCTTAAAGCGATACTAGATACCAAAATCAAATTAATACGAATACATATAGTGCGGAAACGTTCATGCTTAACAATATCCATCCATTACCCAACCTGTCAGCATATGGCTCTGATGCCAACTGTGACAGTTCTCATGGTTACATCACAAGGTACCTATCAGCTTGCCACCCGCACGTCGTGCGTTCATAATACAACTTAAATTTCAAAATATACATCACAGATATCCGAATGATACATTAAACTTCCAAAGTACAATCATAAAGGGGTCAAGCCAAAATACACCTGAAACCCTAAAACACAATATATCCAAAAGGAGATTTCTCCGCGTTAACTCCATTTCCAGTCCTGGTAAGGAAAACAAATCTACAGGGTGAGCAAAACGCTCGTGAGGCCAAGGACACACATGCAAGCACATTGTTCAAATAGCAATCTCAACTTTATTAAATAAAA